TCAATGGTGCCTTGAAATCTATGACCTCAACTTTTCCAGAGACTTTTTTTCAATGTTATTTTAACCCTTGTAAATAACTGTAGATAGAGGAATTAAACTGTATATTCTGAATAAAATAAAATTATTTCGACCACGAGAAGCGTTCCCAAATATCACCCCTTCTGGAAAAAAAAAAAAAAAAAAAAAAAAAGTCCCAGATGCGGACCGAGAGGCACTTTGCGGGGCCGGAGGGGAGAGAAGGGCAAAACGAGGGCCTCGCTCACCGCGTTCCTGCGGGTTCCTCCATCGCAGGGATTCTCACCGCTGTATCTGCGTGCGCGGGGCGGGACATCCCCGGGCCCCGCGGGGTGGGACGGCGGCGGCGGAAAGATGGAGGACAGCCGGGATGCGCGGCGACATCCCGATGCCGGGCGCGGCGGGGCCGAGGGAGGATCCCCGCCGTGCTGTGCCCGGTCCGTGGCGCGCAACGGGAAGGCGGCCGTGCGGCGAGGCCGGGGGCCGCGAGCCGGGAGCGGTGCGGCGGGGCAGGACTTCCCGGGGCGCTGCGGGTGGTCCCGGCTTTAGGATTTATAGGGAGCGACTGTCGAGCCGCTCGGCTTTGTCTCTTCGGCCAAATTCCATCTGCTTCAAAAAAAAATCGAATTAAATGAAAAAAAAAAAAATCCCGACTTTTTTATTTTCTTCCTCCTGTTTAGCTTTAGTCAAGCAGTATTCTTTTCATTATTACTGTTCTGTTTGGAACCTGTAGCCAGAACTTCCCCTTTTTTCCCCGAGATTTCTCGCCCCGGCCCCCGAGGTAGCAGACCCGGGTCGGTCTCTCCCCCCCCGGTCCCTCCGCGCTCGCTCTTTCCCTCCCCCACCGGGAGCCCGGGGGCGGCGGCAGCGCTGGGAGCGCCGGCACTGTGCCCCGGGCAGAGGCCCTGGCTGGGAATCGCACCGCGCCCGGCCGCTGCCCCTCTGCCCGCGAGGTGCGCAGCCCAGCGCCGGCGGGGATGCTGCTGTGCCCTGTGCTCTGTGTTCTGTGCTCTGTGCCCTGTGCCCTGTGCCCGGCGCCTGTCCCGGGGCCTGGCGGCGGCCGGAGAAAACCCGTGAAGGGGATGGAAGACGGGATGGGATGAAGTGTCCTTTGTCTGACGCTCTCTTTGGGCACGACGGATTGCTGGTTGGGTTGGGTTTTTTTGTTGTTGCTTAATTTTTCTTTTCTTTTCTTTTCTTTTTTTTCTTTTTCTTTTTTTTTTCTTTTTTTTTTTTTTCCTTTTTCCCCTCGCTCTCTCTTCCCCGCCCTTCTCTTTTCCTGGCGGCCACTTCCATGAGGAGCTGGGGCAGCTCGGGGAGCCGAGAGGAGCCGCATTCCTGTGGGTGCCGAGCGGCTCCAGGGCTGAGCCGCAGGGCCTGACACAGACACACACAGACACACATACACAGTCACACACACACACACACAGTCAGACACACACACACAGCCATAGGCACCATGGAAAAGCCTCCCCATGGATCCCTGCTCCACTCCCCCACCACCTCTGCCCCCCCCTTGGCACGGAACGGCCTCCCTCTCCCAACCCCGTGTCTCCCCACCCGCAGCGCGGCTCCGCGGGCACTTCTCGCCCTCTCTCCCCATCCATGCCCACTCCGTGTCCGCTCCATCCCCGTTCCATGCCCGCCCCGGGGGCACCGCGCATGTGGCAGCGATTACAGATACCCGTGATTTGTGCCACGCGATTGATACACCGAGGTGGTTGTGGGGGTGGCTGTAGGATGGAGATGGGTTGCTTCGGGAAAGTCGGGGCGGAGGGAACCCCCCCTTCTTACTCTCAGCTCTCGGAGCGGCCGCCCGCAGCGGGGCAGTGACCTGCCCGAGGGGTCGGCGGGGGCTGTGGAAATGGAACCGCAGAGCTCGCACGGAGCCGCCCTTCCACTCTGCTTTTTTT